GAACCAGCGTCATAGCAAACGTGAGGAGAATGCGTTCCTCCCCGGACCGCAACCTCCACCCCTCCGGCCTCCGGCCCCCGCCCCCGGCCACTTCCGAGCGAGGGGAGGAGCTGCGGCCGCGCGCGGGGCGGGCCGCTGTGCTCCCGCGCCGCCGCCCAGCCGCCCTGACCTCGGAGCCCGGGGCCCGCCCCGGGAAGAGACCGTCCCGGGGGAGCCGTGGTGCGCTCCTCGGCACTGGGCTCGGGGCCAGAGTTGGGAGGGAAGAGCGTTTCATGCCTCAGCAGACCCGCTGGTCTCCGCCTGTCCCCGGAGACTCCGGATTTAGAACCGCCAGAGGCTCCTACGTGGCCGCGGGTCCAATTACCCCCTGCGGCTTTGGAGGAGAGAAACAGATTTTTTTTTTTTAAGCCTAGTTACAAGGATGGAGTCTCCACTGAAAAAGACTGGAAGTCCCCATTCTTCAGGATTAGAGGGGAGGCTCGCGTTGCCAGACTCCTGGACAGCTTGTACAGGTGAACATTTTAAGTTGCCAACTGTGACTGTTCCCCACGCCATCAAGGTGCACTGTGAGCTGACTTACAGCAAACATCCTACACGGCCTCAAACACGTGACTAAGCCACGTAGGGCTTCACAATACTCAGATGTGGCAAGAAATTCATGGGAGTAGTTGAAGGCATTGAACTTCGAGTCGATTGTCCTTACTTACTAGAACCTGGCGCCAATGAAAGCAAATCACCAAAGTTTCGATTCACGTTGGAAGTGTAAACCAACGGTTGTGGGCGCCAATTCAAAGCGAAGAGCAATGCCCAACTCGAAGTGCCCGTGAAAAACGAGACTTTATTCAGTGCAAACAGCTCAATTGGGATACAGAGTGGCCCTGAGACCAGCGCAGCTGTGGGACAGCTCAATAGTGTCACAGCTCAGTTATGAAACAGCACAGCTGTGGGACACCCCCCGGGGCCAGGCAGCCCTGGGTGAGGACCCGCTCCAGCTAGACCAGCGGTTCTCAATCTGTGGGTCGCGACCCCTTTGGGGGTCGAACGACCCTTTCACAGGAGTCGCCTAAGACCATCGGAAAACACATATATAATTACATATTGTTTTTGTGATTAATCACTATGCTTTAATGTTCAATTTGTAACAATGAAAATACATTATGATTCCTAACAGTAGCAAAATTACAGTTATGAAGTAGCAACGAAAATAATGTTATGGTTGGGGGTCACCACAACATGAGGAACTGTATTAAAGGATTGCGGCATTAGGAAGGTTGAGAACCACTGAGCTAGACGGTCTGCCTGCTCCACTTTGGTGGGCCCAGGGCCTGGCTCAGATGGCAGGAACACAATGTAGGCAAGCAGTTCAATTCAGGCTTCTCCCTGAAGTTCAGTTTGCATGAGAGGCATCTGGGTAGAAAAGGCCCCATTTTTTAAAAATTGAGCTCAGTTAGCCAGTGGGCACTCTATTTAGTAGGTATCTTCTTTCTCGGGGTCCACAGAAGCAAGCAATTCTGATATCAAATGTGGCAGAGATGGCGAGAGAGAGAGAAACTGGGCACCCATCTAATATATACATACACATGCAAAAATACTAAATAAAACGTGAGCAAATTGAAATCAACAATTTATAAAAAGAATGATACATATAACATGGGGACTACCTAAGCGACCTTTAGCAAGCTCATAGTATCCTCTGCAAAATGAAGATAAAACATGATCATTACAAGATTATTATAGACCTTATGAGATCCCAGGATCTCATGAGAAACTTCATGTAGCACTAAAGAAATGTCCACTGTTCCTATTAGAGCTTATTCCATGGAAATCGAAAACCTATTCATATAATTCACCCTATTAACACTGTTAGTCCGTATGGCTTGGGTAAAACTGATTTCACCCCTGGGAATTGAGGTGGGCATGTGACATAGGCTGGGCCAGTCAGAGTACTGCTTCTCCATGACCACAGAGATTGTTTCCATGGCAGCTACATGACCCTTGCTAAGCCAAGGAGTATAATACATGGAAGTCCTATTGGAACGGAGAAAGGCTTCTTCCAGCTTCTTCCAGGGGCTGTTAAGTGGTTGGCCACCTTTGCCCCGACAATGGGAGAACCTGTATGAGAATGAAGCTGAGAGAAAGAGAAATGGCTGACTCTTAACATTTCAGCACCTAGATCAGGCCGTTCCTGAAGTTCTACCCCATGACATCGCATATATATGAGAAAATAAATTCCTTAAAAAACCCAAACAGTTTTATTTGGGTTTTGGTATGTTGTTTTCAAAAGAGTCGATTAATGCTTGCTCAAATGGAACTCTCAATCCCTGAGTCTTCTTCCTGAGAGTCCAAATCATTGAGTTAAGCAAATACTTGAATCAGTCAAGACTTTTTTTTTATAAAGTGTGATATTATAGAGTTTTATTGATCAAGACTCTTTCGATTGCAAGTGTGAGAAGAACAACTTCACTGGTTTTGCATAGAAGTATATCCTAAAGTTTTCAGCTTGTTTGCTTGCTATAATGTTTGGTATCTTCTTTTTGTTTCTTTTCTTGTACTTTAGGGGCATATCTTGACCAGCAACAAAGTCTTCCCAGGAGAGGAGGAACTATTGGCCCAGGTCACTTGCATCTACAACTGGATTGGTTCATACACCGATTTTTCCCTCTCAAAGGGAAACCAGATTTCCAAGTTCTGGGATACACACACACACACACACACACACACACACACACACATATACATTGTATGTCTGTTCATAGTCTTTGTGTGTTTATTTGGACTTCCTGTAATAAATAGGAAAGAGCTCCGCAGGTATTTTAGGTACTGATTATATTAAATGCCATGTTTCAGGGAAATATCCTCTATACTATTTTTTTAAATATGGAATGCTTCATGAGTTTGCATGTCATCCTTGCGCAGGGGCCATGCTAACCTTCTCTATATCGTTCCAATTTTAGTATATGTGCTGCCGAAGCGAGCACTCCCCTCTACTATTGTTTTTACTTCCTTTGTAGTTTATCCCATTGCATGAAAGTTACTATAACTTCATGTATCAGATAACACTTTTAAAGTACAATCTAGTTAAGCACCTAACACTTTTGTATCCTGGCTCCACCATTTACTAGTTCTGCATCCTTGAGCATGTCCCTTAACTCTCTGGGCCTCCCCCTGTCTACAAAATTAGTGTAATACATAAAGGTCATAACAGAGCTTAAGTTTGTAAAGATTAAATCATATCTTCTTAAGGGCTTGGCTCAATGACCAGTACATAAAAGCACTCAATATGTATTAGGTTTTATTTTCAGCTCCCAAAGCTTGTCTAAATTCAATATACAGTTTTAATCACGGATCGCACATGGGGGGGGGGCGGGGGGGGGAAGGGCTCCCAACCGCCGGGACCCGCAGCCCTCGGACGCCGCCAGGGGGGGCCCTCCGACCTCCGGCACCAACCGGCCAGGCTGGGGCGGTCGGAGCGAGGACCCAGGGCCGCGCCGGGGGGAGGGGGGGGACCCGGGGGCCTCGGGCGGA